CGCTCGACAGTGCAAAACCTCTCTCTGCCACTGTCAGTTCTGACTCATAGCGATCCTATAGGACAGGGAAGTACTGCCCCTGTGGGTTTCAGACTCTCACTCTTTACGGGGTCTGGAAGCCTGGTCTGTGCCCCAGGAGCGGCTGGTCGTTTCAAACGGCTGATTTTGCTTCTTGCCCAACATGAAATCCACCACACCACCAGGGTTCCTATGCAAAACCTAAGAAACCACGATTAACCCAGGCTGGAAAAAGCAGTGCCCATGATGCCAGACGCGCCGCACTCACATCTTTTAGCACTAAGTGGCCACTTGGCAACATCTCTGTGTACAGGGACCACCCTGAGTGTTAGGAAGTGTGTGACCCCCACCTGGGATGGAGTGGCAAGTGCTTCCTTCCCTTCTCTAGAGCATCCTTGGGCGTCTTTGTGAAACTGAACATGTACAACGTGTACGTTGAAAACCAGGCTTTCTTTCTCCGGGCCGAGGGTGGTGTCCTCCGGTGTTAGGCATATGCGAAGTGTTTACATTTTGCCCCAGATTAAGCTCTGTGACTAGTAACATTGTCTGGGGCCTTTTTACTGCTGAGATGAATGCCAATGGGAAGAGTGGGCAGCCCTAGTTTACTGTGCGGTGGTATTGATTGACATTCGGGTTTTTTTTTGTTTTGTTTTTTTGACATTCGGTTTTTAATCATCAAGGAAGGTTTTGAAACAGTGGGGTGGTGGAGGAGTTAGGGAGAGCCAAAACTCCTTAAGTTCAAATTGTTTGTACCTTCCACCACCTTTTCTGCTCCCTCAAATAAAAACAGACCCTTGTGCCCCTCTGTCTCTTCTCTGCGCAGTATGAGTCGGGCTGCTAACTACAAAGTCAGCAGTTCGAAATCACCAGTTGCTCCTTGGGACAAAAACAAAGCCGCCTACTCCCACACAGTTTCAAGGTTCGAAGCGCACGAAGCAGTTCCACCTTGTCGTCCAGGGGGCGCCGCTGGGAGTCGGCATGGACTCCCTGGCTGGGAGCGAGGGGTCTCTTCTCTGTGGGAGCCTCAGTGGCTGCTGGCTGCCAGCCCCTGCTCAAGAGAAAGAAGAGATTGTCCGTGTCTGTAAAGATTTACAGTCTTCGGATCCCTACTCCCTATGAGTCAGAATCGGCTCGATGGCAGTAGTTTAGTTTGGCTTCTTCTCTCCAAGCCCCTTTGTCATCAGAAGGGTGTAAGCCAGCCCTTCCTGACCCTATCTCATTTTTGACTCGTCAGGAACCTAGGAGAAAGGCTGCCTGGCAGGTTTTTCTTGGAGTTCCTTTTGATTATTATTGACCAAGAAGTGAGGGACCAGCTGGAAGCCAGCCCTGTGAACACTCTTTCAGAAAGTCCTGAGCTCGAACTTGGCTTTCAGGAATTTTTTTTTTAATGCACTGAGAAGCATTCACACACCCTGTCCTGCCTACTTCTATCTAGAGAAAGTGCTTCAGGATTGGTTCTGACACCCAGCAAGAGAACTTGTGGGCAGGGCAGAGGGCTTCTTTGAATACTCCTAGAAACTTTCTCCTAAGGCTTTTTGCTCGAGGACTGACCAGAGACTAAGTTTACACAACCAAAATCCAAACTCACTGCCATCGAGTCAATTCCAACTCCTAGCGACCCTACAGGGCAGGACAGAACTTCCCCGGTGGGTTTCCAAACTTGTAACTCTTAATGGGAGTAGAAAGCTTTGTCTTTGCCCCTTAGAGTGGCCGGTGGTCTTGAAAGGCTGATCTTGCAGTTAGCAGCCCAATTTATAACCCAGTGGCCATCTGGTGCTCCTTTTAAGTTTATAACCACAGTACCCACCAATTAAAATTTCAGATAATTAAAAGATGCTCAAACAGGAAGGTCCAGCATCTGACCCATCTGTAATGGACCATGATCAGCTCTTAGGAGACTTGAGCAGTTTGACTCTTCAGAGTCTAACAGTGACAGTTCTGCCACCCATCCATAGCTGGGCATCTGTTCTTACTGATCAGTCTCCACAGCCTTCTTCCTGCTGCTGGGTCCCCAGGCTGTAGGTGAGATGTTAAATACAAGCCTGTCAGTGTAGAGGAGGTTGACGGGACACTTGGTATTTCCCAGACAGAGCCAAGGCACACTCCTGTTGTTCTGGCCTGCATTGTTCATTTGATTCTTAATGGTGGACAGTATCATAATAAATCAAATGTTCTTTTTGTATCCTCTCTTTAAATATCTCTTGGTACTGTGGAATGGATTGAACCCTCTGTTTGCTTGGGCCTTTTCTACCATCTCATTAAGTTTGGAAATTCCGGCCAATGGGGAAGCTCCATAGAAGTAGTGTTGGAAATAAAAGAATTAACATCTTCGCTAATCATTGCTGGTGAACTGGTTCATTAGAAGCTCTGGGTGGCTAGGATCCTTGCCTATTACCCTGGGAGGAAATTAGCCAAACAACATACCAGGGCTATTGTAATTTTTTTTTATAGTGTTACCTTAACTTTTTAAAAGAGCATTCTTTCTCAAGACGGGGCAATGGTTAGAATCATGTGATTGTGTACCTAATGTGTCACGGTAGACTCTAACAAGCCTTTATCTGGTACAACACTCAGATGGAAATGTGCCCTTTGGGGGCTTTGGGATTAGGAAATAGATCTGTTGCCAACCCTATGAGTTAGTATCTCTACATATACTTAGACAGCATTGAATGAATTATTGCTTTCTAGGTTGGAAAGGCTTTTTTTCTTTCTTTTTTTGAAAAAGTTATCATCATTCTTAAGCGGGATCATTTATGAACCAGTCAGCATACCTGGCATTGAAGGTGAATTGGAGGATTAGCAATTCTTCTATAAATGGAATATTTTATGTACAAGAATATTTTAGAGGAGGTAAGGAGTAACTGCCAAAAGTACCTGTGCAGTCTTGAAAACAGAAGAGTTCAAATATCACTATAAACTGTAATTGACAATGAGTCATTTGCTTTGGGGATGCCAACCATGAAAACACCCTAGTTATGCCCCTAATGATAATTATGAAAACTCCTTTTAAAAGCCAGTTGGATCTCACATACCTGTGAAGCCTACTTGGGTAAAATTTTTCATTTCTACCTACTTAAAAAGTTATCTAATTAACAGTCGAAATGCCATTTTCTGCGCACCCATATTTTTCAAAATGTAATGTTTCATAGAAACAGTTGTTCTGATAATGCAGAGGTAATTTATTAGATGATCATCGAGTGTCATTACAAACACCAATCTCATACATCTTAAGGGAACGGAAACATTAAAGGTATGTTCCCAGCAATCAGGGTTAACTTGACATTTTGTTTATAAACCTGACATCTATTTTAAAGCCCACATTACTCCTGTGAGAATAAAGGGAAACCTGATGTCCATATGCTACCAATTTATTTTTACTAGGACTATCAGCTATGCGGAAGGCATCCTGGTAAGGATTGTGCATGTTGTAACTTATTTTCACACGAACCAGCCAAGCCTTGATATTCATAGAAGAGAACACTGAAACAGAGGATAGATGGCCTGCGTCACCCCAGGTTGCCCCTGCAGGGAGTTGCAAATGTAGTCTCTCCATCCCAAGGCTGTCCTTCTTCCCTAATATGAGGGTGCTTCACAAGGTCCATGGGACAATGGAATTAAAAGGTAATAGAGTCTTCCCCACAAACTTTCTGAAGCCCCTGCGACAGTTCTATATCAAACGTTTAATATTGTTTGTATGAGTGATACTGGTGTCTCCTAATATTGTTCATCGGTTTGCATTCGTAATTATGGGCTTTGGTAATAATGATGCTGTAAAAGGCTAAGTCCATTCAGAAGTCTGGTCCAAAGCCCCTCAGTGTGGCATTTTGTGATCTGGAAGAAGCGGCCCCCTTTCCACACGTCTACCTAGCCCGGATACTGGTTTGGCAGCCTGTAAGGGGTCTCTCCCTTCCTCTCCTTCCCTCTTAACTGTTTTCTTGTCTCAAAGTGTTCTAGTCCCTGTTTTTCCCACCAGGCCCCCTCACAACCTAACAAGAAAAGTTTTTTAAAAATTTGGAAACATTTTGTTTCTTTTTAATCTAATTGCAAACATAAGTCATGAAAATAAGTTACTGCCTGCGGGCCTAAAGGATACACCTGCAGCAGTCTGATACAGGCGGACGGCGTTCCCTTGGGTGGGCGTCCCTTCTTTGTGAATAGCCTTGCAGAAAAAGCCGAAGCGGGCGTGAGGACAGCCAGGTGGTGTCTGCAGAGCGGCTTACCTGGAGGTAGGGCATAGCACTGGAAGGTGATATAATGTATCCAAGCCAACGAGAAGGGAAGTCTAGGGAGGGGAGGGGCCTCGTCTAAAATGGAAAACAGTAACTTTTTTTTTTTAAAGAGCTGGCGCCTTTAATCTTCACATCTAATGTTCTTTTTCTCCATGCTGAAGAAAGCCACATCACCAATAAGAATATGGTGACCCTAATTCCAGGGAAATGGGCTAGGCCATTATTTACCCTCCAAATGCCCTGCCTACTGATGAACAAGATAGACGATGCTTTCTGACCCACTGAATGGTAGGGGACATGCCCATACTGGAGGAAGGCAGGGTCACTGATGTCTAACACTTAGCAGTTTGGGCAACTCTCCCTCGGGTTGGGCATCCATTGCCTGAAGAGAAGGAAGCAGTTAGTGAGCTAATAGCTTATTCATAAAATGAGCAATAGTTGCTGAACCTATTGTGGATTCCCGATATATGTGTGCTTTGCTAAGAATAGCTTTCAAAATTGGACTGATGGTCGCTTCTTTGACAGTATTGCCAGGCAGCAAAATCTGGTTGGCATTTCGGAAAGTATATTCCCGGTTCGTGCACTTTGGGGTGTGCTGCCCCTCGCTGATTTTGAGATCCACCCACTATGGGAGGACCTTGCAGTTGCCTTTGAAGAGAAAAGCGCGTCTGAAAGCGCGTCTGCTTGTCCCCATCCTGATTTCCACCTTGTTATCTCTTTGTAGGTTTGGAAGATGGCCTGAAGCACCATGTACTTTTTCTCTGACAGCAGACTCGAGGTTAAAAAGTATCACACAAGTTTGGTGTTTGCGTTTGCTTTCCCAAGGTCAAGAAACTGCCTCCTTGGAAGGCAACAATACTATGCATGTTATGAATTGTGTCTCCTTGCTCAGTGATAAAGAAAATGGGAATGTTGCCACTGCAGCTGGATTAATGATTGGGCAAACTCCACCACCGGCGGCTCCTCCAGCTCCTGCTCCATCCCCTCCACCTCCATCATGTGTGATTTCAGGAGAAGGGCTCCTTTCCTCTCCTCCTCCCCCACCACCTCCACTCCCCGGGGGACCTCCTGTCCCCCCTCCCCCTCCGGGGCCTCCCCCACCTTCTCAAATGAATGGGTACAGTCACCTTGGGAAGAAGAAGCGGATGAGAAGCTTTTTTTGGAAGACCATTCCAGAGGAGCAGGTTCGGGGCAAAACCAACATCTGGACCTTGGCCTCCCGGCATGAGCAGCACTATCAAATCGATACGAAGACCATCGAGGAGCTCTTTGGGCAGCAAGACAACACCGCCAAGTCTTCCGCTTCCGTGTCTAGGAGAGGGGGCCCTCTCAATTCATCCTTCAGGGACCCTCGAGAGGAGGTAAGGATGGGGCTTGGAGTGGGTTAGCCCTCCCGAACTGCTCTGTGCTCTGTCACTAAGTTTAGACACACACTTCAAAACGCCGTTAGGCTTCTCTCAAAAAGATAAAGCCTTATCTGCTGGGCTTCCGCCGAATGGCGAGAAAGTATAAAGGATGTGCACGCTGCATTCCCCCCACAGCCCTGTGAGGGACGATCTCATGTAGAGAGTATCCTACTTGGGGGCCCTTGGGGGCCATGGCTCAATAGCCTCTCAGCCCTGCCCTGTCTCTCACACATCTGTGCTGTTTCGCCCGGTGGAGGATTCTGCTGAAGTCCAGAATTGTAAGTCTATGCTGAAACAACAACAAAACTGAGCTTCTGGATTAGATTGGTAGTTAGTTCCCTGGCATTCACAGGAGGTCCCTGTGACAAAATGTCTTTTGCTAACTAACATCATCAACCACTCCCCAGCCTACGACGACCCCCGCCCCCCCAGCTTCCCCTCCAGACTGCCTTCAACAAATGTTTTTGAGATGGCCTCCAGGCCTCAGCTCTCTGAAGTGAAGTATGGCCAATGTAGAACCGAGCATGCCCAAGAGCCAAAGCGGAGCTCTTGTTTCTAAATAGACTTTATAGAGAGGAAGCCTTTTCCCTCCCACCTGACTGCCATCCAGTCAGTGCTGACTCAGAGACCCGACAGGACAGGGTAGAACTGTCCCCGTGAGTTTCCAAGACTAACTCTTGGTGGAAACAGAAAGCCTTATCTTTCTTCCCACTAGTGGATTCAAACTGCTGACCTTAAGGTTAGCAGCCCAATCAATGCGTAACCACGACGCCATTAGGGCTCCTGGGCCAACTTCCCAGTTAACTCCAAATGTGTTCCTTTTAGAAAAAATACAGTTAGTCATTTATCAAAAGTTAACAGAAAGCAAAGCCCCAGAGAGTTATACATTATCGTATAACACAGAAATGGAATAAAAACACGCAGTCAGCAGCAGAAAGCCATCCTGGTGTGTGTGTGTGTGTGTGTGTGTTCATCTGCTGCAAAGGAGCAGAGAAAATAGGTCAGCGATGGAGATGACTTCTGCATTATTGAATTCTTGAGCCAACAATATGGAATGCCTTTCTCACTTGGGCTCGTTTAACTCCTCCCCCCCTTGGGGTCCCTGAAAGCTGTTTGTATGAACCCCTGCTGAAAGAGCCAAGAGCCTACTTCTCGGAAAGGGTAGAGAAGGCTGGGAGGCTGGGGGTCAGGGAGTTGGAGTCCGTGGAGTGAAACCGCTAGAACAGACAACAGGAGAATGTTGAGGACTTTAATCCGTGTCATGGATCAGTCTGCCTAGAAACTGTGGGGCAGGGGCAAGTTTTGCTTCCCCCAATCAAAGAAAATAAATGTAGATTTAAAAAAGAAGAGGCAGAGGACGCTGGGATTAGAATTGTTCAAGAGTGAACTAAGAAATAAATGTGGAAAGGAAATTTTCAGAGGAATCTGGCCCTCCCCCCCTTTCAGGTGTCCTTTCCGTATTGGAAGGAGCAATCCCTCCCCACCCACCCCGGCCTTGACCCCCAGCTTCCAACAGGCTCCTTATCATGCAGTCGGCCTTCCCCCTCGGAGATTTGAGGCTATGGGTGGAAAGACAAAATGGACATGCATGGAAGTGTGGATCTCAGAAGAGCACCTGTAACGGCGGGCACCCACCCCCACGTCCCGGGGCAGGCAGTTGGCCACATTCGAATGGGTGACATCCTTCTTGGAGCCGAGAAATGTCCTTTGACCAAGGATAGTTTAAGGGCCTACAGGGCCTTTGTTGGCTTATGTGTGTCAATAAAGAGAGCTTGAGACTCCCTCAGGATGGAGGAAAGTGACAGGGTTGGGCAGAAGCAAAAATGTCCACTGCCTTCAAAACATACTTCAAAGGAGCCTTTTTCCTCACCTCTCTTTCTTCTGGTCCCCAGTTGGATCTTTACATGTAAGGCTGGTAGGCCCTGATCTGAGAGCCAGCGTGCAGGAAAGAAAGAGCAGATCACTATGTGGTCCTACTGAGGTGCCTTTGAATCAGCCTGACTGCGCGGAACACCCCCCCCCCCCCCCATGTGTGACAGAACCGAGAGCCGCCCGGCCCTGCACCATCACCACGCTTGTTGGGTTTCCACCTTGGTGCTGCCATGGTTTCAGTCCCTCTCCTTGAAGTGCTTCCTCTTTTTCACTGACCCCCTTTTCCAGACTGCTGTCTCCTAAGAACACATCTCCATTACACAAGGCAACGCCGTGCCATCCTCCTTAAGGAACATTCTGAACGAAAGTTTTTCCTAAGACATATGGGTCGGCTCTTCTGGCAAACCAGGGTGGGTATCACCCACCCTGACTGTATTCTAACTAGTCTTCCTCGTCACCTAGCTTAGGTTGTTAGGTTTACGTGATTAATTGGGTAATATTGTCACACAGAAGAGGTGATCTAGAATGCTTTTCAATTTCTCTTGCTAAATCTGACAGTAGAAGCATTTATACTTTTTTTTTTTTTAACCCCAAGACTATAATACATGCCATTTTCTTTTCTCTTTGGACTTCCTTCTAGAGAAGTTAGGAATCTTGCTTGGCACACGCTAGGAAGCGGAGTGTGAGGTGTGGCTTGGCGGAGAAAGCCCTAAGCAGTCGCCAAGCAGAGAGACAGATCCGGTGTCTGGAAGCACATCGCATCCACAGGTTATAACACAGGCCATCATCTGGAGGCCCAATCGTGCTGAGCACCAGATTATGTCCCCTGAAAACATAATAACCTCCTGTAGAAAGGTCCTGTCATTAAGTGGTTGGCTTATACTTGAAAGGACTTATAAAGTATTACACACAAGTTCCACTATCCTCCAGGAGAAGGAGTGTTTGGAAGACAGGGCCTTTTGGCCTTGGGAATGGCAGCACTGGGAAGGAACAAGACTTGAAACAGTAAATGAGAACAATTAGTAGGGAAAAGAAAAAAGAAGGTAAAATGTGGCTCTCCCTGTGTGCTGAGGTAAAATGACCCTGAAGAGAACACAGTCGTAAAGTAATAAAAATTAGTAGAACGAAATAATTACAAATAGTGAAGATACATTCTTGGAGAAAAAAAACCAAAACTCAGGAAACAGCGATTCACCTCCAACTCGCCATTCTTTTCACAGTACGCTGAGTCACAGCTTCCCTAGAAGGGAGTCCGATGAGAAAAGAAAACGGCAGGTATTGTCTTCCGGTGCTTAAAAAAAGTGTCTATAAAATACCTCTCCCTCTGTTGGACTTAGCAAGAGAAATGGAAAAGCAATCTGGATGATAACTTCTGCTAGGTGACCATGTTACCCAATATCACTTAAGTCTACCTAAGCTACTTGCTGTAATCTGGACGTTAACGAGGTGACGCGGTAGACTCCTTAGAGTACAAAGTCATGGTGCGAGGCACCCTGGATTGCCGGAAGAACCAACACCTGTGGCAGTGGATTGACGTGTGGTGGTGGGTGCCCTCCAGTGGGTCTGACTCATGGCGACCCTGTGCACAGCAGAGTGAAACTGCCCCGTCCCAGGCCGTCAGACTAGGCAAGGGAAGGAACACGAATTGTAAGGGGAGAAGAGAGCAGAGCTTGCCTGGAGGTTTTAGGGAGAGGGCCGTGCAACCATTCACACCCCTTCTGAGGGCCCTAATGCTTCTGTCCCCATGCTTCCAAGCGCCACTGGCCATCTGTGGAATGACTGCTGGCAGTGTCTGTCACGTCTTTGTGGGCAATCCTCGGGTTGAGCAGAATGCATTCCCTCACATGTGTGAGTTGTTCACCAGCAATGGGTTGATTGGCTGGAGAGAGAAGTCAGCCCTGTAACGGAAGGGCTCCTGGTGGCGCAGTGGTTCAGTGCTCGGCTGCTCACTGAAAGGTCAGCCATTGGAACCACCGGGTGCTCCAGAGAAGAGGAACAGTTGTCCTCTGTCTCCCAGAGCCTCTCGAGTGGTCAGCTCACAGTGGGGAGAGAGATGGACTGGCGGGGAGGGGTGGGGAGGGGGCCAGGGCCCCATTCCCAGGCCGGGTTGACTCACTCCTGACTGCTGGTGAGGTGGTATGGCTTCCAAGCCTGGGCAGCCAGTGAGTCTCCCCGGGCTCCCACTGCACCACCCATCCCACCCAGATTCCTATCTAATTGCCCAGCTTTGAGGCTGCCAGCATTGGGGAAGTGAGATAAGCTCATTTGCATGTGTAGTGACAACTTCTCTAATGAGCTCCTAATAAATACCTGGGTCACACTGCTGCCCAAGGATCAAGTGCCCTGACTCTGAGAAAGAGGCTCCTGATGCACCAGGCAGGAAGGCCCAGGGGGATCGGGAAAGGGTGACGCTGGCCCCATGTTATCAGTTGTCTCGTTTTCTTTTGTGCAGACAAGGTGCTGGGCTTGGCCTGCCCGGTGAGGTGTTTGGCTGGGGCCAGCCCAGGTCTCTCCTTGGGGGATATCACTGACCTCTTTCAATGGGTGAATGGAGTCTGAGGCCTTGCTTCAAGCTGTGGGCAGAACAGTTGCTTCCAGCTGTGACTCTGTTGCAGGTGGGCTGAGACACTCCTAGCACCAGGGAAGCCCTCGGCTTCTGGCAGGTGTCTCAGCTGCTGAGGAAATACCTTGGATCCATCATCCCGCAGACACAGCGTGGGGTCAGCAGGGGACTTGGCCAGGCCCCGTGGATGGCTTTCTGACTCCGCCCCTAGAAAAACATCCCCATAAGGACTCCACTGGCGGGGAGAACTTGTGCCATGTCCTTAGGAAGCCCCCAAACAAAAAAACCCTCACTGCCATTGAGTCAGTTCTGACCCATAGCCACTCTATAGGACAGGGTGGAAGTGCCCTTGTGCATTTCTGAGTCTGTAACTCTTCATGAAAGTAGAAAGCCTCATTTTTCTCCCTTGGAGCGGCTGTTGGTTTCTAACTGCTGACCTTGAGGATGGCAGCCCATCTCGTAACCCACACACCACCAGGGCTCCTGCTAGGAAGTGCTCCCACATCCAAACTCACAGCAAAGAGAGTCAGGAGGGATCTGAGAAGCCCAGGCCAGTGTTTTAACCCAGTAATGCTTTGAACAATTGAAAAATGGCCTCTCACGGATTGGATTTCTTACCTGTCGAATAGCAAATCTTTCTTACCTGTCAAAAACCAGAGTGATTTTCAATAATTGTGGGCCTAGATCAGATGTTCCAAAAACCCCAGCCAGGGCCCAGGGGTAAAGAAGATGGGAACAGGTCTTGGAATATGGGCATAGGTGGGACGGTGCTGTAGTCAGGAGTTAAATGTAGCAGAGGGTGGCGATTACCTGAGCGAAAGATCAAGCAAGTTATTTTCCCGGAAGTTGAGTACATGTGTAATCAGATACAGTGTTGTGCATGTTCTTTCTTGTGGCTTTCCCAGTCATGAATCATAACAAACCCATGGCTTTCTGTCCTAATAAGTTGAGAGTCCGTTGTCTTTGTTACAGGGTGTTAAGTTTGACAGGTTTGTTGCCCCCCTTGCTTCCCCTCCCTCCTCCTTCACACTGAACTTGAACCGAAATCCCTGTGTAGGATTCCAATAAAGCAGCTGCCCTTTTCACGTCAGAGTTTATTTTATGGCTGGCAGGTGACTGTTAATGAAATGAACCCCTGGGTTAGTAAATCACGTGGTTGTTTAAGATTAGTCTTCAAAAGAAGGCAACCCGACTCGTGAAAATTTAACCTTAAAGCCAAGAAGTGACATTAACATTGGTTAACAACCTTGATGCTTCTCAGCACGCTTATAGACTTAGAAGCAGGCATGGAAATCAGGAATTTCGTCTGAAACCTGAGTTCCTTTTGTTTCCAATGAATAACATACATTAGGAAAGGAAGGACATTATAACAACATTCCTGTTTGAGCCAGTCTCCCGGTACCAAAAAACAAATGGAAAACATTACAGCACGTTTAACGTTATCTGCCCTCCCTACATCCTGAGTATTTACTCCAGAGAAATAAAAGCCTTCTATATATTTTTAAAAAAAGACAGTTCAGCTTAATTCTTAAAAATAGATAAAAACCCTTCCAGACTGTGAAGGATGAGCAGTCAAAATCGACTACAGTCAAAATCCAGTGGATGGGCCACTGGACTAGCTAATCAACCCAAGAGTAAGAGACAGCCTAATTCCAGAGATGTTCATGTGTAAAATAGGCGTATCCTAGGCTTAGTGAAATATAGCACAAGAGTCCCTTTCTGAGTAAATAAAATATAGGATACTTTCATGCTCCTTCCTAAAAGTACTATTGGCTATAGGTTTGCTTTTTTTTTTTTTTTTTTAAAGAGAGATTGCTTTTAGAAAAGAAATTGAGGATTTTGTGACATTTATGAAAATGACAGTTGTTGTTATTATTGTTGTTGGGTGCCCCTGAGTCAGTTCTGACTTAAAGCCACCCAACACGCAGCAGAACAAAACACCACCCAGTCCTACCCCGTCCTCAGGCTTGTTGTTACACTTGAGCCCGTTGTTGCCAGTCTATCTTCCCAAGGCTCTTGCTCGTTTTCTCTCTGCCCTTATCTTTTACCAAGCATGATCCCTTCTCCAGGGATTGATCTCTCCTGATAACATCTCTCCATCCTCACCTCTAAGGGCCATTCTGTCTGTCCTTCTTCCAGGACAGATCTGTTTGCTCTTATGGCAGTCCATGATAGTTTCCATATTCTTTGCCAGCACCACGAATGACAGAAAATTCTCCTTTATGTCCAACATTAAGACTCCCTGCAGTATCTTTGCCTTCACTTTTCACTTTTGCAGTTCTAGGCTTACTACGATGATTCCTGCTGGGCTAGGAGATCTAGTTCCAAGGTGTGGTCTTTAAGTTTGGGCTATCGCATTCTAAGAGGAAATCACTAAATTAAAGACAATGTAAATACTAAGTTGTAGCTATGGACCTAGCCTGACCTAGAACAAAAAATCGTGAAGAAAGTCAAAGACAAGTAGAAACAGGGACCACAAGAAGCACAGCCTTTGATCAGAACTCGATGGTGCCCGGCTACCACTGCTGACCACTTTGAAAGAGAGCACAATAGGAGGCCCTCGATAGAGTGGGAGAAAACTGTGGACTATAATTCAAAATCGTAGCGAAAACCAGGGTTACTGGTCTGATTGAGACTAGTGGACTCCCCAAACTACAGCCCCCAGTCACTGTTCAAGTCTGGAGCTGAAGTCCCCTGGTTCAGCTTTCAGTCAGACAGTCCACAGTCTTAGAACGTGAACAAGAGAACCAGGGAGGCACACACTTTACAGAACAACCGACCACAGGAGATCAGAAGGGCAGTATTTGCCCAGGGAACAGGCTCAGAAGGCAGAAAGGGACAGGGACGAAGGATGGATGGAAATGGTAAACACCAGGAGGGACGCTGTTATGCTGTGGAGACTCAATGTCAGGAATCGAAATGAGTCTCGCTGCTGAACAGAAAACCATTTGCACTATAAACTTTCACCAAAAAGGAAAGTTGAGCAGAAGTTAAATATATATATTACATATGGAAAATTACACAGGTTAAAAACACATACAGATTGCAGTTGAGGAAATAGAATGTCAATGCAGAAATTTGGGGAGATGGTCCTATTTGTATTTACTTTGATATCCAGAAAATGATATCATGTGTATCTATTATCACCAGAGCTACATATTGGGAAGTGTTCTTTTATGAATTAGTTTTCTACTTGAATAGGTTTTAATTGCATTCTTTCCTCCAACGCTTTATTTATTTATTTATTTTTAAAAATCATTTTATTGGGGGCTCATACAACTCTTACCACAATACATGCATACATCCATTGTGTCAAGCACATTTGTACATTTGTTGCCATCATCATTCTCAAAACATTTGCTTTCTACTTGAGCCCTTGGTATCAGCTCCTCATTTTTTCCCTCCCTCGCTCATGAACCCTTGATAAGTTATAAATTATTATTATTTTGTCATATCTTGCACTGTCCGATGTCTCCCTTCACCCACTTTTCTGTTGTCCATCCCCCAGAGAGGAGGTTATATATAGATCCTTGTAATCGGTTCCCCCTTTCTAACCCACCGTCCCTCCACCTTCCCAGTATCACCCCTCTCACCGCTGGTCCTGAAGGGATCATCTGTCCCGGATTCCCTGTGTTTCCAGTTCCTATCTGTACCAGTGTACACCCTCTGATCTAGCCAGATTTGTAAGGTAGAATTGGGATCATGATAGGGGTGGTGAGGGGGGGTGGCATTAAAGAACTAGAGGAAAGTTGTATGTTTCACCCTGACTGGCTCGTCTCCTCCTCACGACCCTTCTCTAAGGGGATGTCCATCCACCTCTTTATTTGCACTTAAGTAATCTGTTTCTCTCTATTTTTTTTCCAGATTACTATCTTGGATGCAAAACGGAGCATGAACATTGGGATCTTTCTTAAGCAATTTAAGAAGTAAGATTTTTGCACATCTTTACTGCTTGTCTTCTCCCTGTGCTGTCAGCATCATGCGGCGGTGCGACGGAGCTGAAACTCAGACTGCTGTCTGAGTGAAAGTCAGTCCTCACGTAGGCAAATCCTCCTGCAGTGTGTGACTTGCTGAGTCCGCAAGAGTCTGTCACCTCGTGCAGTTTTCCCTCATGGAAACACACTTCCCTGGCCTCATGCTCAGCATAGGTTGCTCCGGGCTGTCCATTAAAACCTGCCACCTCAGGGCATTGCTAGATTCCTCTCTAGCAAAGCCCTTGGCGCGCCCGGTTGGGACTGCTGAGTCCAACAGCTATTTAGCTTGGGTGTTTTGGGTGGGAAGGCTCTGTAGGAGCTTGGGTGAAACCAAAGAGGATTTTCTTGTCCTCTCAAAGAAGACTCCCAGTGGTTGTTGCTGCTATCTCCTTTTCTGGGATGCCTAGAGGGTTTTCAGGGTGCAGGGACCTCTGGGTGTTCAGGACCCCATGTTGCCCTGGCAGTGCCTGTGGTGGTGTGAGCACAGACTGCCCAGCAGGCTGGGAAGAAGGTGGCAGGGAAAGGAGGGTGGAGGTGGCTGGCTCTCTGTTGGCACTGCAGCGACATGAAATAGAATCCGGCTAACGATCTCTTCAAGGTCTCCTCAGTCCATTGTGGAAGATATCCATCAAGGCAAGAGTGAGCACTACGGAGCGGAGACATTGCGAGAGGTCCTGAAGCTCTTGCCAGAGTCAGAAGAGGTAAGGAATTTGGTGCAGGCGTTTGAGATGTTAGGGGGTGAGGATAAAAATGTCATTTTTAGGGGAGGAACCTGTCTGCTTACTCGGTGCCCTGGCACGACTCACAGGGTGTGCTCTCAGCACCTATGTTCCAATGGGAGCTGCACCCTTACCAGAAATGTGGGCAAGCCTCTTACTGCCTGGGACCTTTAGTGTCCTCACCTGTAAAGCGAGGCTACTGAGGCTTGCTTACCTCATTGGATTGTCAAGATGATTCAGTCCCAGCTACACATCTAGCCTGGTACTGTGCACATGAGCCTTGAATACATTTTAGTTTGTCTTCCTGTCCTACGATGATGGGTGATCTTTGCCTCTGGGGAACCCAGTTGTTTTGTAGTGTGTGTGTGTTTGTGTTGTTTATTTTTCTAAAGAAAAAGAGCGCCGTGTGGGTTCTGGTTTTTTCCCCTTCTTCCTAGACTGTGTCAATTCAGCGGTTAAATGGTTAGAAGGTTGTTTGGAAAAAAACAGAATAGCAGTTGTCCCAAACCTTCCAAAATCCTTGTTGCTCATTTCTGGCCAGTGACTCTTGAAACAATTCACTGAGAAATGACATCAACCCTGGGCTTACTTAGACACATTTCAATCTTGGAACCTCACTGCTACCCTTCCCACCCTCAAAGCTCTCCTCTTCCCAGAGGTTAATAATATGGAAGCCGATTTTCAGCACCTTTAGGAACAAGCAAGAGAAAGATATTTATACCTTTTTCCTTTTATGTTGATTAGTGTGAGAAAGTCAAGTTCAGGGTCTTAGTGGTTAAGTAATTCTCTGAGTTTATTTACTAGCTCGAGACTCTCTCTCTATACATTTGAGTTTTCAGTTTCAAATGAAGTATACTTGACCTCAGCCAAGATTAGTTCCTGGAGCTCATTAATGTTAGTGAAGGGGCTTGAAGTACCTTTTCCTGCAGGACGGAGGTGCAGTAAACCATCATTTACCCTGGCTCTGCCACACTGGGCAGCCAGCCTCTGGCACCTTTGTTTTAGATAAAGAACGAGGGTTCCAGACTCTTTTGTTCAGATCTGTTGAGTTTAATTCGAGCTGAATTTAAAAAGATGAAGCAGCTCTTGGAATCTGATTTCTGCTCGGGCTTCCTTTCCCATGATTCCTCCAGCACTGAGCTCACCCTTTCCGAATGGGGGTCCCAGGGGATGATGCTCCTGCAAAGGCTCTGCTCCACCAGCTCTGTTGTCTAACTAAATGCAAGCAAGGCCCTGGGGCAGCTGCCAGCTGGAGGAGATGGGAAGGGGCTTTTTTTAACATTTTCATTTCTCTCTGAAAGCTCTAAGGTGGCTAGGGCAACCAGGGCTGTGGGAGATGGAGAGGTCTTTGCTGGAGAGCGGGCGGCACCGAGCGAATAAGCTGCGAACCCTATCCCGAGTTGGAGAGCCGTGTTCTGAGCTCTGTGTGGTGTGCCAGTCAAAGGGAACTGTGTTGGCAGCATGATGACAAGAGCCCCACCAATGATGCCCGAGTCAGAGGCGCCGTCTCATCCAGACAGACACTTGGCTAACCCCAGAGATGGTGTCTTGCTGAGATGAAAGGTTGGCACAGCTGTTTCCCCCATCACCCTCCTGCGGCAGGGTCAGCCTCCGTGTGAATCTCTGACTTGCTTGGTCACACTTCTCCTTGTTTTTATTTCTGACTGGGCTCCAGTGCACCACACCCTCCACGCATCAGGGAGCTTCCTGCAGGAACACGCGCAGTCCCCAGGGCAGCCCGAGCCACTCCCCAGGCCCCTCCCCAACTCCCACCTGGGGTCCCACGGCCAGAGGGAGGCTCAGTGGGCAGAAGCCACGTAGGGAGGAGCGCGTGCTGCAAGGACAGCCTGGCTCTGCTTTGAGGCTGTGTGGCCTCTGGCACCAGGCAGACCCAAGAGCCTGTGGGTCTCTGGATGGAGGACAGAAGGTTGCATTGAGGCCAAGGAGGAGGTCTAGGAATGTGACCGAATATGCTAATCAGTACACAAGTGTGTATGTAACTGCATATTAGGCTTGTGGTGTAATGTTCTTTGCTCACATGCAGCTCAAGAAAGAACTGAGCCAAGTGTCTCATGTTCTCAGCTCTCTATTAAAAAACAGACTCAATGCTGACTCACGGGGACCCTATAAGACAGGGTAGAACTGTCCCTGTGGGTTTCTGAGACTCCAACTCTGTACGGGAGTAGAAATTGTCATTGTTCCCTTGAGCAGGGGCTGGTTTTGAACTGCCAACCTTGCAGTTAGCAGCCCGATGCATAACCACTACAGGGCAAAATGTAATCAGGCGAGAGAATGTATTCAAAGTTTTTAGTCGTGAGCTCAGTACACAGAACGTCAGCCGTTTATTATCTTCTGTCTTCCCATTGAATCCTCACAATGATACAAGAGGTCCTTCATTCTGCAAATAAGAAATGGGAGGCTCACGCAGGCTGCCAGCAGCTTGTGGTGTGCCCCCTGACTGGTAGCTAATGGCTGAGAGGGTTGGACTTGAACCCGAGATTGTCTGACCCTGGGGCAGATTTTTCTGATCCTCTCCACCACCTCTATCGGATGGAGGAAGGGCAAAGGTTGTCAAAATTGCCCCTTGAGCCAGGCTGGCCTCGCAGCCTGTGCAGCCCCGACCTCTGCTATCCCAGCGCTGTGCCGCGAGCGTCCCTCGAAGAACGCTGTGCTCCCAGCAGCACTCAGACACACACGGACAGCAACAGCCCCCCTCTCGAGTTCACGGCTAACAAGCCAGCTGAAGCGAATTTATTTTCACTCGTGCCTTTGTCCTCCCCCACCACAAACGTTTCATCTGACAAGTGTGTTCCTCTTTCTTCAAACACCTGCTTAAACCTTCCCAAGGAGGAGGGGCCCCGGAACAGCAGCCCTGGGAGTGTGCTCTGTCTGAATAGAGGCCGGTGTGCAGTGTGTCCAGAGGGGGCCTGGCTGTGAGGAGGCTTGAGAAGGAGCCAGAAGACAGGTCACAGGGAGCCCCCCGGCCTTCCCCCGGCCTAACATGTCCTTCCGTTGGGCCTTCATGCTATGGACATGGGGCTGTAAGGTGGTAGAATATCTTTTTCTGTCTTCTTGAGAAGGCGCTTGCCTTGCTGCCTCTGGGGATTTTTATTACCAGTGTTCTGCCTTCAGAGAGCCCTGGTGGGGCTGATAGGTAAGGGCTGGGCTGTTAACTGCAAGGCTGCCGGTTCACACCCAGCCACCCCAGGCGCTTTGAGGGCGGACGATGAGGCTGCTTGCTCTTGTGGAGAGTTACCGTCATGGAGCTGCTATATAAGGGTCACAGTGAGTTGGCATTGACCTGATGGCAGTGTGGTGGATTTTTGGTGGACTTGAGAATCCCCGGGTGGTACCAACAGGCAACATGCTCAGCCGCTAAGGCTTGGTGATCTTCTGGAAAATCAACTCTAAGGAGCACAAAGCCCTGCACGTGTGTGGGTTATTTATTGGGCTACTAACTGCAAGGGCAGCAGTTCGAAATCACCAGCTGCTCCTCAGAAACAAGACGAGGCTGTCTACTTCTATAAGGATTTACATCTTGGAAACTCACGGGCAGTTCCACTCAGGATCACTAGGAGTTGGGATCGGCTGGTGTCAGTGAGTTGAGATTTATGGAGCTCCATTGTACTTTTACACAGGTGGGGTCACCTGGAGTCAGAATGGGCTACCATCTTTGTTAGGAACCCTGGTGGCCTCGTGGCTACCCACTGGACTGCAGTTCAAAACCACTGGCTGCTCTGCAGGAGAAAGACAAGGCTTTCTATCCCCATAGGAGTGACAGTCTTGGAAACACACGGGGACAATTACACCCTCTCCTGTAGGATCACTGTATCAGTCAGAGTCGACTTGATGCAATGAGGGGGTTTTTGTTGTTGGTTTTGAAAACCATGTTTATGTAGATTGCTATCCAGAGGGGCCTGATGAAGAGGAAGCCCGTGGTCTATTGGGTGGGCATGTTTGTGGGAAATCTTGTCATTCCACGGCCACATGCGTGGAATGAACGAAGGAGGTTCTGCTTGTTAGAATGTGTGTCTGTGAGTCTTAAGGAGCATGCTGTTTGCAGGGAAGGCAGAAACCGGGCACAGCCACTATCATAACCAGGGTCACTTGGCTCAGCCAGTAAAATTATGCCCAACAATGCTAATGCATGCTTGCTGATAACAAGGGTGAGAAGGCATAGTAATTACAGGGTTTGCTCACTTGTGTCTTGCTCCTCTATCACTGCAAAGCACAGTAATCCCTCTTAATGGACACAAATCTTACTTTGAAAGAAGAGTCAAGTTCCATGCACATGGCCTTTAAATTCAGTCGTATCTTTCCAACACCCTTCCCTTGAAATCCATAAACATTTTCAGCTCTCTGAATAAGTGAAGGGTATTCATCACTGCTCAGTTACAGTTTAGTCTAATGTTTAATAGAAATATTTACCAAGTTTCCTTTGCGTGACCTGTTCTTATGCTTTGGACTGAGAGCTGGGCTGTGACTTCCAGAAACATGATCGAAGGTGTGCCCTCCATGTGCCCCTGCCCATATATAGTGAATTGTTGAGAAGGGATCAAAATTCACCCTATGGGTGTCTTAGTTTCAAAACCAGGCACTGGCTTGGGTTTGGCTAAATTAAAAGTCACTTCTTGCTCATAAATTTAGTACAGCTAAAAATGGTACATTCAGTCTTGGGCCCAAAGGGAGAGGAAATAATGCAATTCCATACATGCTTGTTTTTTGTCCTTTAAAATAAAAATGCATCCTCGAGGGTGAATTTGCACTACTGTATTTTTTATTTTCAAGTAATTTCCATGATACTCTGGTTTGTGGATCTTTTCAAATACTCCGTTATATTATTTCTGAAGTGCCGTTTCCTATTTTTCAAGAGACTTAAACACCATGTTATTATTATGAGAATGCCAGCCAGCTTTATAAAGAATAATAAAACGTGGACAGTGCTGGCTGGGCAACGGTTAGCTGATAACAGTAGTAAACAAAGTATACTTTACCAGTATTCTTACCATAAAGCAGTTGCTAAGGGAAGAGTCGTTATTGGCATGCACTTGAACTTTTCTTGCCACGAGGTTGATCCAGCTTTGCCCCACATCACCTGGAAGCTGTTTGGCTCTATATCTGTGTCAGATTTCCCCCTGGTGATGTAGTTCTTACACTTCGGGCTGCTAACTGCAAGACCGGCAGTTTGAAACCACCAGCCAGCTTGAGGGAGAAAGACAGGGCTTTCTAGCGCTCGTGAAGAGCGGCAGTCCTGGACACTCGCAGGGGCAGTTCTACCCTGTCCTATAGGGTCACTTTGAATCAGCATCAGCTCAAGGGCAGTGAGGTTGAGGGTTTGTTGTTGTCTATTTTTCTGCAAGTACGGTACGTTTTCTTTTTGTTCTCCCATTCCTCGAGCTGATTCGGTTGAACTGCTCCGCATCAGCTTGCTGACTGGCCCATCACCTAGAGAAACGTGCAGGGGTTCTTTTCCTGTCCTCTCTGTTCGTTTTCGGGAGTTTGAGTTTGTGGAGGGCCAGGGGACACTAGACACGTGTAAACACTGACAGAGATGGGATCCTGCTGTAGATACTGTGTTAGTATCTGTGCTTGTCACTTTTCCTTCTCGTCCTCCTGCGGACGGGCCAGCATGTACTCTCCTGGGGACACATTAGTCCCTGCCTAGGAAGCCTTTACAGATAAGGGACTGGACAGAGAGGAGGGCTGACTCCTAGACCTTAGACCCACTACAAGTCTTTTATAACAAAAATGCTCCAGTAATAGGGCTTTTTCACTTACAACTCAAAGAATTTTATTATAATGACTGCCCAGTTCCCCTCCTTTGCCGCCCCCCCCTCTTTGTTTTAATCCCAAACAATAATCTTCTCTTCCAGGTGACCACTTACAGACAATTTCCATCTTTTGGTTCCTTTTCAGTTCTTCATTATACTAACAGCCCTGAGAATTCTGGTGGCCCTAGCTCTCTGATAAGTAAAAGGACTGGGCCCTAGTGAAAGAGCCCTGGTGGCTCAGTGGGGTAACCATTGGCTTGTTAACCTCAAGGCTCACGGTTCAAACCCACCAGCCGCTGTGTAGGAGACACAGGAGGCCTTCTGCTCCCACGAGAGTCAGAATCAATTCAGTGGCAATGGGGTTCATTGTTTGCTTTGGGAGCCCTTGTGACATGTTGGCTCAGCAGTAAACTGCTAGCTAGAAGGCCAGCCATTCACATCCGACAACTGGTCACCATAGAAAGACATGACCGTGTGTTTCCATACAGATCACCACCTTGGAAACCCCACGGGCAGGCCTACCCTGTACCGGACCACAGTGGATAGTAGTAGATGTGACTATTTCCTTGACTGTCTCTTCTTAACCCTGCATTTTATCCATTTAATTTAGCACCGAATTTCTGTTGCTTGTTTTTTAAAGACATCTAACATGAAATTTAGAGTAATGTTAAATTTAATCCTCAATCATTTCTCCCCCCCTCCTTCCTTCTCATTTGTCTTTTAGGTAAAGAAATTAAAAACATTTAGTGGAGATGTGTCCAAGCTGTCGCTGGCAGACTCTTTCATGCACTGCTTAATTCAGGTGCCAAAGTAAGGATATAGCCATTGATCATTGTTCTGCACGGAGTATGGCCTTTAAACTACTGACAGTAAGTTCTACAGTGATCTTTTATGTATTTTTCAGCTACTCACTTCGGATTGAAGCCATGGTGCTAAAGAAGGAATTCTTACCTTCCTGTTCTTCCTTATACACAGATATAACGTTTTTAATAACTGCTATAAAAGGTAAGTAAACACACGCTCTCCCATGCATGTGCTTCCATTAGTTATGGTAGCTGTCGATTGAAAAGATAATTCAGTTGAAATTAGAGATGGAAAGACCTCATTTCTATTACACCTCATAAAGAGATATGAGTTGTCACCAGGGGATGGCATTTAAGGTTTATTTCTGTTTACCTTTAAAAATTTTTTCCTCTACTGAATTTTAACTTATACATGATCTTCTTATGAAAGTTTATTGTATCTCATGCTTCAAAGTAGATTTGTCTGGTGTGACAGTGTCTTGCTTTAGTCCAGGCTGGCTTTCTGCTTGTAGTGTGTGAGTGTGTGGGGTGGGGGTGAGGGCCGGGGCGAGAGTTCTGCGAGCATTGGTTCAGTGGTAGAATTCTCATCTTCCTTGAATGTGACCCTCCTGGGTCGCTGGCACTGTACTGCAGCCACGGCCACTCCCGTCTGTCCGTGGAGGTTTGTGTGTAGCTCTGATGCTGAAAAAGCTTCAGAGGAGTTTCAAGACAGAAGGCGAGCGGGGGTCGGGGGCAAGGGGGGTGTCTGACAACCGACTAATGAAAACCCTAGAGCTCCGTCCTTCCCACAATGGCTTGTGGGGGTGGGGCGGGACCAGGCAGCGTGTGTTCCATTCGTCCTGGGGTCACCAGGAGCCCGTGGGGCTGACTCAGTGGCAGCTCATGATAATGACAAGTGCAAGTACCAGCCTGAGCTCTGGGCCCCCATTGTCTTCCCTGCCAAGTGCTGGGACCCGGTTTGTACAGAAGCCCCCTGGCTTCCTTCAGGAATCTTCTCTTTGACTCATCTGCCAGGGTCTTGTCCCCCACCCACTTCCCCTGGTGGTAGGCTATGTAATTTTGAGAGGGGCGGGACCAGGCAGCGTGTGTTCCATTCGTC